CTGCTGTAACTCATTTTCCTACCTCAAATCATGGTTAGTGTAACTATTAATGTCAAGCCTGCTATTTTACTATGTATTTTAATACATGAGTTTTTCCCAAAGGTGTCCTGATGAGTGCTGTTTTCTTTTAGGATGTCAAAATGTTACAGCTTGTAATTATCCATTACGTACCTCCACATCAGCTCTGTCTCTGCTGCATTCAGCTAAGCCTTTATCTACTCAATTAGTAAGTAAAAGTTTTATTCTGGTTAATAAGCATTTTAAATTAGCACTGCCTATTTACTTACATATTTATTTAAGTGTGTGGATTTTCTTGGGTTTATGTAATAATTTTAATTAAAGAAAAAAACCAGCATATTTCAACTTACAGAGATGAACAGAATAAATACTGAAAGAAAATACTGCTATTCAAGCTACATTTTATAGAGACACCAAAAAATGAAACCAGAAGTATTTCAAGTGACTGCTTTATTTTGTATGGTGAATTCTGTAATGGACAGCAAACATGGAAGGTGCAGGAAATTATTCATTACTGTTACTAATTACGATCTCAGTAATGCACATTAGGATCATTAACCAGCTCCTGATAAAATATATCATATATAGCTTTACCCTGCCAATGATTGAGTTGATGATGTCTTCAGATGCTGTGTATTAGAGCCACATTTTAAAATACTTATGTATTTCAGGGTATAGAGTGTACCAACTGCCACCTTGGTAAATGTCCTAAAGGGCTTGCACCTTGAAACTGTAAGACTATAGACTTACCTTCCATCTGCAGGCAGTCCATGTGTAGTTAGTGCTGTACTTGACTTTAAGGAATTCATCTGCTTTAAATATTGACAGGTAACAGTGTTGTCTTTTTTTTTTTTCTTCCCTGTTCTGGTCTAAAACAAGGAATGTGTGTTCCTTGAACAACAAAACAAACCCCAAAAACCAAACCAAGCAAAACCAAAAAACACCCCAGCAAAACAGACAAAGCACTTCTAAAGTTTTTTCTTTACAGAAAAACTCTAAAAGATCTGTGCTCTGTTACCAATAACATTTAGTATAAAGGTAATTAAAGCAATTTTACATTTTAATTACTCCTTAATATACTGGAAAATTATGCAATCAGTGAGTTGTAGTTGCTTTTGCAGTTTGCAAAGAATAATCAAGACTATTGAGTCAGACAAGATCTGTTTTGATTTTTTTTTTTAACGATTTAAAAAAAATAAATTGTGTTAATTTTTTGTTCAATGTGAATATTGTTTATGCAGGATGTTCCTGTGGACAGTGGCAATGAATGTGTGCCAGAGATGGGAGGACCTGTGGCTTGCCCAGTAGTTTGTGCTGCTCCTGCTGCTGCTGCACAGATACAGTCTGCCACTGCTCTTCCTAGTGTGATCCCTTGTATAGCATCAGGTGCATCAAATAACTCTGCAGTGCCTGCATTCATCCCATCATCTTCTGGCAGAGGCATGACCCCAAACCATGAGCAACAGGATTTGATAAGATGCCTACAAGCTCACCTGGCCCTCTTACAGTCACATGAAATGGTGAACACCAGGACTGAACAGAAGCACTATCATCGTTGTGCAGCAAAACATAATACTTCAAGTAACAAAAAGAAGAACACTTTTGAAGAAGACAGTGAGGACATGGTCAGTGAGGAAGATGACTCGAGTGTACTTGACATTGCCCCAGAGAGAGATACAATTTGTAAGACAGGTTTTGTGAAGAATGTTGTAAAATCTAGGAAGGAGAGTCCAGAAGAAACAGCCCATAAGGTTAAGACTTTAAAATATCTCCTGGGAGAGCTCAGAGCACTGGTAACAGATCAAGGTGAGGACATTTTCCATGTGCAGTAGAGTGGTTACATACAGATCACACAAGAGTTGCGTTCAGTGAGTGAGCACTTCAGTTTCTGGAAGTAGTATGCTTCAGGTGATGCATGACATCTTAGAGTGGTGTTCAAAACTTTAACAGCTTCATGTTCCACTTTGGATAAATGTTACTTTTTTTTTTTGAGTGTTTTAATGTCATTGTAACAGAAAAAGATCATTCTCATTTCACATCCAGTGTTTTCCCCTGAGGAAGGTAACAGTGTGGAGAGATTGCAACAGCAATCCCATCAAGGTTGGTTGGAAAGGTGGTGTGTTGTGATTCATCAAGAACCTAGAGCATAGTTTTCATTGTCAAGCTTAAAAATTTTAAAATATAAAGTTAAAATAAAGAGAGGGTTGTTTGTTTTTTTTTAAAAGAAGTACATATTGTTGTATCACTTTGTAGATTGCTTAATTGCATATAAAATATTATTGACATATTGCTGGTTTATATGCTTATGAGGTCTTTTTTTTTTCCCCTCTCACCTCTTGCAGATGATTCAGAAATGTTGAGGTTGGTGAGTGAAATAGAGGACTCCATATCACTGCTCCCAGCAGTAGTGGGAAGTATGAATGTACAAGCTGAAATAGCACTGGCTTTGCAGCCTCTCCGAAGGGAAAATGCCCAGCTGCGTGGGTTAGTAACTCATCAGTGATTCTGTTTTTACTGCAAATGTGCCTAAAGCATCTTTTAACTGGTCTGTTCTAAATTGCATATTTTAGCATTTGCTATGGTGTAAGTGTTAGGGCCCGTTCATTCTTGTCCATGCGGTATGTATGTATTAGAAAGTGTGTTGGTAAGGTTATGCGGTTTAAAAATAAATCGATAACACGTAGCAAGACTTCAGTTGGTACTGATGTTGTAGTAGCATCAGTTACATCATGATTGGGCTTTTGTCTAGGTGGGATCAGTGCATCATTCTCTCTGAAAACTATAGTATCAAGAGAGTTAGCTTGCTCATATTCTTTTTGTAGTGTATTCTCAAATGCAAAAGTGGCTTTTAGGGCTCTCAAACACGTAACTAGGTAGCACTTTACTTCGGAGCAAGATACATTTACTAGAGCTTGCAAAGAGTCTTTTGTGTTGAAGAAATATAGGAATGTTAGAAAAGTTCATTATTAAAACTTCCTGAAGCATTCGGAAACATTTAATTATCAGTAGAAACTTCTTGCTAAACTAATTTAAAATGCAGTGGGTTTGAGCTTTCTGAATTTGTACTTTCACAATTCATGTTTAGGAGACTAAGAATATTAAACCAGCAGCTTGGGGAGCAAGAAAGAAATGAGAAGACATCTGGACAGAGCTGCAACTATGAATGTAAAGTATTAACAGAGAATGATGCTTTTTAGGGGCATTTTTGAAACAGCTTTGTTTAAATAGATACATATAAACCCATAGATATATAAACTAAAAATAAACAGTACATATTGTGGCCTTTGGTGACAACTGAACTAAGTATTGTGGGTCTAAATTGTGCACTTGCATTTGCATGGATTGTTGTGCCTGTTTAGACTCCACATGGTGAGACTGCTCTTCAGCTGCTGAGCAGGTTATTTTTTCTCATGTGTTTCTTAAAATGAGGATTATATATTAAATCATTAAGAAAAAAGCATGCGTTTAATCTTGCTTCCTCAAAAAAACCCTTCTATCTCTAAGCAAAATTAATATTGCCAAGATTATTAATAAAGTTTAACTTAGAAATTCAAACCATGCCACACCAGACACATTTTTGTATGTTTTACTTTTCATAGTAGTTTCTTTGCAATCCTTGAATATGATGCTTCAGAGTCAACTGCAAGAATCACAGAAAGGCCTTGAGTCACTACAAGCTAAAAATGAAGAACTACTTAAAGTAATCAAAAGCCAGAAAGAAGAAAATAAACATCTTGCAAAAGATATTCAAGATAAAGAAGAAGAATTGCTTGGAAACAAACAGCATTATGACATTTGTTCCACCAAGCTCAAGATTGGTACGTGTTTTGAATTTGTTTGTTCTACATTTAGTGTTTCAAAACTTAGGATAAATACTTAGGTAAATTCTTCTTGGCATTTTAGAAGTGGAAGAGGCATTATCAAATGTGAAGAGCCTTCAGTTTAAGTTGGAAGCTTCAGAGAAAGAAAATAAGATTTTGGGCATAACGTTACGTCAGCGGGATGCAGAAGTTAACAGGCTGCGTGAATTAACCAGGTACCATTGACTAAACTAGTTTTTGCCTTTTGACATCATGCTTCTCTTTCTCACCCCCCATATTTTTGGTTATTGTAATCTTAGTACCTTGGTGGTAGGAGGTCATGTAGGCTAAAAACTTTATTTGTAGTTATTTTTGCTGTGGTGGTGCTGCAATTTTGTTATAGTGGAGTTGTCCTGCTCCTGTTGTAATCCTGTTGCAAAATGTGATCTGCTGTAATATGTGCACAGTTTAGCTGTCAATAGCAGACAAGGAGCTCCATGGGAAGTGCATGGACCTAAAAATGTACTGAAGATGTAGAATTTGGAAACTAACTCGTAATCTGAGTTAAGGAGGGATTATTTTTTCTCTCTTTCTTTCTTTACACTGGTTCAGAAATGGGTCTATTTTAGAAGAACTTACAGGAACATCTGTCTTCAAGGATCCACAGCAAGCTCTTCCTGTGGAAATGAGCAGTCCTTTCTTTAATTGTACACACATTTGAAGTAGATTATTTACAGATACTAGTTATGGGTAGAGGTGGGAGTTCTTGGACTCTTGAATGAAGGTGGTATTACTAAAACTGTTTTAGACCTATTACTGCCAATTTATTTCATCATTGTCTTTTATGATTAATATTGTGGCAAGCTGGCAGACTTAAATAGCTCTTTGCACATGCAAAGTGCTATGTACATAAAATTTGTTTGGACATAATATGCACAGGAAGTTAAACTATTGTCTGTCTTTTTTTAGCTGATATTGATTGGAATAGCAGAGTATTTGTAAACAGTGCTTCAGATTGTTTAGTAGAAGTTCAGACATGTTTTACACTTCGACTATTATACTCACCACCAGATGGTAGTATCATGTCTTATTACATGTATGTATATGCTATATATGTAAACATTTAAACATTAATTTCTTTTGACACATAGGAAGCAGAAAACGAGAGTAATTATTTCTTTTACTAAACTTATTTTTATTTATATGCAGTGGGTAAAAGAATTCAGAAAAAAATTATCTTGGATAACTTTCTGTATGCTTCCAAACAGTTTCTTGACATAGTTTTCTTTTGTAGTGATCAAAACAGTTAAATTGGGAATGATCTTGAACTGCAATGGATTTTGCTATTTTAGTTGTTTTATAGGCACACTTCTCAGAGCTGAAGAAAGAAACTCAGGAAACTTGGAATTGATTCACTTTTGGTTTGCATTTTATGTCAAGATGTAGATGGAGAATTGTAACTTTGCTGCAGTCTGATAAACCTAATGCATTGCTTTTATATAAAAGTTTTTTCTAACATTGGTGCTAAAAAGTAGTTAATCTGATTTATTGATCTTACCTTAACAGAACCTTGCAGGGCAGTATGGCCAAGCTCCTGTCTGACCTCACAACAGACAAGAGTAGACACAAACCTGAAAAAAGTCTTTCCAAGTCTCTTTTGGAAGACCATGAAAAGCAGATGCAACCTGATCAGTTTCCTGGGAGTACTTCAGTAATAACTTACCTTAAAAAATTAGAAATGGATCATCTTTTGACGGATACAGAACTTCAGTTCTCAATTACAAGTGGAGAATTAGAAGTGCAAAATCTAGCCCATGAAAAGTTTGCTGCTGAAGGAGGCAAAATAAACAGTGCATTCTCCAAAGGGGTAACATCAACTCCCAGAGCACTACCAGTGTCTCTGAAGCAAGATGAAGAAACACTTAGTGATTCTGGGACTTTACTAGATGACCAAAACAAGTTGGATCAGACTGTTTATATTCCATTGACTAGCAGTGCCTCTGAGAAACAGTTGCCAGTCTCTGAAAGAACTGGTGTGCTACCCCAAAGTAAAGGGAATTCTAAGATGTTGGACTACCACTGTGAGCTCTCAAACTCTGTGCAGCAGAACAGATGTGAGATTGCAAAGGATCCAACTATTCTGGATAAATCTAGTGCAGGGTGTAGCGTGAAAAAGACCATGGAAAGCACACTTGAAGTTACAGGGGATAAAGTGAAGCCAGAAGGAGACAAAGTCCAAATGAGGCCAAATGACACTCCAAGTGGAACTGTGAAAGACTTCACAGACAAAGCAGACCAACCCCAGCCTGGTACTTACCATCGCATACCAATGCTATTTCCAGAAGAGATTTCTCAGAAGAAAGGCAGTGGAATAACTGATTTTAGTTCCATTTCATTTGATGATATATCAGGGAAGTCTGAGTGGAGTGTATCCTCTTTCTCAACATTTACTTCTCGAGATGAAGAGGACTTCAAGAGTGGCTTAGCAGCCTTGGATGCCAACATAGCTAGGTTACAAAGAACTCTACAAAATACCACTACGAAACGATGACTATGAAGAAACAAATTGGATTATTTAGGTTTTTCTGAAGTATATTAATAAAGTATGGTACTGATATTCAAAAATACATATTTGTATTTTTGGTATGAAACGACTTGCTACTAGCTGTTTAAATTATGGATGGGATTTGTTCCTCTTTAAGCTATGGTGCTGCTTTCCTTGGTGTGTGCAATTTGAAATAACTGGTATAAATGCCTTTTTAAAATCATGACTTAGGTTTATACTCTTTAACTGCAAGATTAATTCTTACAACAGCACTTGGTAACTGCTTAAGAAACCAGTGTGCTGTTAATAATACAGTTTTTCTATTAAATTATAAAATGCACTTACATGGGGTTTTTTGTGTGTTTTTTCAAAGTAATAGTAACATCATGGAGAGAGATGCATTTGAAATCAGTTACAGATGTGATAAAGAGAAATTTTTATTTCACTTTAATTCGACATATAAAATTGGATGCGTAGTTATTTTCCTTGATTGAGATATATTTTAAGAAATTAGCTCCTTGTTGTGGTTCACCAGAGAGGTGTGCAAACAGTAGTGTCAATATTAAAGAAACAGGGGGCAGGGCTTTTTATTCAGCTGTGTTGCTACTTCATCTGAGTGGTGTTTAATCAAGAAGTGGGAGTTTAACTTATCAAAGTGGAGCTGCCTTGAACTTAAAAAGTGTTCTGTCTTGACTAGGCAGAATTTAGGTGCAGGAGGCTAAATTAGATGTCCTTGTTTACTAATATTTTTTTGCCTCCCTAAAGAGCAGTTGCAGGCACCATACACAGACGGGCAAGAGGTTCCACAGGTAGAGGCCAGGGAAGAGCTGCCTGCAGAGCAGATCTGTAGGAACATTGACTTACAATCAGTAAGTCAGGGTCATGCTGTTAAAAAAAATAAAAGCAGCCATCATATGGAATTTGCAGTATATGGTAGATCCTATAAAAAGCATGAAGGTGATCCTTTTTCACTCACACCTAGTAAAACTCAATGTCAGTTTTGATCATTGTACTTGAAGAAAGCATTGACTTGAGTGGGAACTTCTGTAGTTCTCTTTTAATATTTTTGACAGATGGTTGACTTTATCTAAAGTATCTAAAGAGACTATAGTATCAGTGGATAAACACAGAACAGCTTGATTTTGACAAGCAGAAGCAGTAACAGGCTTAAGTTGACACAAAGGAGACAAATTAGGCATTAGTGAAAGCTCACAAACAAGTACCTATAGCAAAGCACCAAAATATGCAGTGTGAGGAAGTAATGGAAATGCCACAATTGTTGAGGTGTCCAACATCTATTGGGCATTAATACAGAGAGTCTGGACTGCATCACCCACATTGGCTCCCCCAGGAAAGGGAACAGAGGGGGAAATAATAGCAGCTTGTCATTCTCCTTAACAGTATTTTCCAGATCTCAGTGTCAAGAATATGCATCATGCAAGTGGTTAAGTTACAGGTACAGGAAGGTGGTGTTATTGCTACCTTTGCCTTCCTCTTAGAAGTGCTTGAATGCTGTTTTTCGTGACTCATGGTTTTTCAGGGAAAATATATTTGGAAAGGGAACAGCAGTGTAAGGACCTGACTTTAAGACTGCTTCTTGTACAGTCTGGCTTATGTTTGGGTTTTTTTCCTAGACAATATTTCTGTGCTTCCTGGTGCTGGACTTTTCTTTCATGTTTCCACATAGGACAGAAACCTCAAGTTTTACCACTTCGAAGAATTTTGTTTCTTTCCATGGATGGTTGCTTGACTGGATTAATTTCATAGTTTGGGCAATATCCATACCTTGTGCTGTGGAGCAGTTCTGTGATTATTTTAGTTACTAGTAACTGAGCAATGAAAAGGTATGAAGACAACACATACTACAGAAGATGCCAACTGGCAAGTCCTGCTTCGAAAAAGGAAAATTAGACTAAATAGTGACTTCAGTGATTTAGAATGCTTTTAAGGCTTGGCCTGGATTTCTTGTTACTCTCCACACTATCTGTTCTCAGATTCAAAATAAGGTTGATGGTGTGAAAATTAACACATTATCATGAAATATTTACAAGCAGTTTCAGTGTCGAAGCAAAGCAAGATTTAAACTATGATTATGGTGTGGATTAAAGACAAGCTACAATAAATTCTAGTCTTTAAAACTCACAGAAGGCTGAGAAAATGTTGGAAGAATATTCATTAGTAGAAGACAAACTAATCCAGTATTTTTTTTTGTAGCTAGGACTGTTACTCAATTTGATATTTGTCCTGGCCAAAGCTAGTTGCAATCTGAATAAAGCATCTGTGATGTCAAGATGCCCAAGCTTGTTCTTCTCACATTGAGAGCATTTATGTTCACTTCTGTCTCACCAGGGAAGATGTTATACCATCTTACGTGTGTCTAGTCCATTTTTACAAAATTAGTTCTACCAAAATATGAAGTGACTACTGGAAACCTTTTTCAGGATAGTGAGATGTGAGCAGGTTAGTGAAGTATATCCTCTTAGAAGGAGAAGCTACAAAGCAAAAATAGGAAGAAAGACTGTTCTTTAATATAGCTCCTTATTTTTTTTCCTCAGATATGTCAATTTGAACTATAGCAACTTTAATTTAAATATAAAATTTCCCATATGTGGGAATGATTAATATACACTGTTGGGGAAGCAAAAGCCAGCAAGATCAAATATGTCAGTCTTGAAATGGTGTGAAAGGGCTTCCAGGATTCAGCTGAAGATAAGGATATTGAAACTGTGGAAATTAACATAGCTCTAGAGTTCCGTAAGGCTCAACAGGAAAACAATGATTATATAATCTCTTACAATCTCATTCTTTTAATGTGGTGCATGTTATAAATAATAGCTACAGAAAATAAAGGAAATGCTCGAGTCTGCACATTTTGACCACTCAAAATGGCATCTTCTCAGAAGGCTGTAGAAAATCATAGAATCATAGAATCCTAGGGGTTGGAAGGGACCTCGGAAGATCATCTAGTCCAACCCCCATGCCAGAGCAGGAAATACCCTAGGTGACTGAGTAGAAAAATATTTCTCTTTAGTGCCCAAAAGAGCTTAAAAGTGATTTTTTTATTTATTTTTTTTTTTTCTCATTCCTGTGGTAACAAGGTAGAAATCCCTACGGGCAGTGGCATCACCTTGGTCAACACCAATGCTTGGAACACTAAAGTAGCTCATACTGCAGCCCATATGGCTGATTTTCTCCATCCAGGATATGACAAGTGCTTGCTGCTGCACAAATTAGGAGCTACTAGGAATCATCCTTGTTGCAAGCAAGTAGACCTCAGACCTGTATCTTTCATGGACTTAGACATCATTCTCTTTGCCTACTTCTTAAGAACAGAGTCTCGTGTAACCCACTGAGCCACCTGGCTAGATTCCAACACCAAACTTTGTTTCCCAACCAGTTCTAGTTACATTTGCTGAAAACAGTAATTTTCTGTTTGGAAGCAGGACAGAATTTTTACCTGTAAATCCAGCACTTGTGCCAACCACTCCAGTAAGAGCAATGCTATCTTCAATTGGCTTCTGGTTTTGGATGCATCCCGACAATGAGGGACAGTCATGACAGGTAGAGGGATCAAAGTATATTTGCAACAGAATTCAAGCTCCATTTCTGTTACAAGTTTGCTAAAGATATTTTGGGATAGGTTGGAAGAGGTGAGAGAATATAGTAATGCGTTGGACCACAGTGTCAACAGTGCAAATCATTTTAATTTCAGGTCAGTACATTGTCTCAGAAGAGCCTGGACCTCACTATACTAAAGAATCAGACAAAGGGCAACAAAATGTGGTGCCTCAGTTTCTGTAGCCAGATGGTGATGTTTGGAGGAGTGAGGGAAGCAACAGTATAGACCACTATGAGATAACAGTTCAAAAAGGAACCATCTCCTCCATGTCTGAAGGCTTGTTCTTCCACATCTAATGTTTTACTGTGGTCATGAAAAAAAACAGCTCAAGACTTTCTTCCACTGTATTGTCAGCATTTTTAAAATAAATTATTTTATAGTATATTTTCAGTATTTCCAAAGATGTACAGTTTGCTCTTATCATGATAAGTTGAGAAAAGCACAACTGTTTAGGCTGGGGAGTTTTTATCACTGGTAGCTAGCTGATCATGCAGCTGAACAAGTGTTGAAAAAAAGTATCCAGTGTGGGCAGCAAAGCTGGTTTCAGGTTATGTCTGTTACTGTATCAGCTTCCAAATACAGGGAATACATGAAAAATTATCTTCAACATGAAATGTTCATTAATGGCTTCTGTGAAACATCTCTGCTGCTCCAAGGAACTTAAAAGGAGCAGCTCAGCAGCTGCAGTGTCAGTACTGGATCGTGTAGCCTCCTCTAGATTTGTCTCATAGGTACACAGGAGGTAAGATGCAGGAGTTCATTTTTACAAAGCACATTCTGTGAAGTTCACATCTGGACCTTCCAGTGATGTGGGAAGAATAGGAACTCTAGCAATACATTCCATCAGGCTATTAAAAGGTCATTTTCCCTTTATGGAACACTCCAGAAGTCCAGGAGAGTTGAGTTTAAGCCATATACCATTCCCTGCTCTGAATTCTTAGGTAATGAGTGTCTATAATCCAGTGCTTTATTCAAAGACCTGGGGATGGTGCAAGCTCCCTGCAGACACAGGATTGCTGCCTTGCTACAGTGTCCAAGTTGATCAAAGACTTCATAAGGAACAAAGGTGTCTTACTTGCTGAAGTGGAGCCGATGCTGCACCTGTGTGTGTGAATAAACTGCCTGGGACACTAACTGGGGTCAAGTGGCAGCAGCACTCAGCTCTCTTTGCAAGGCTGGGCTTACAGCTCATGGAGCATTTCACAAAATAGCAGTGATTGCTGCTGGTCCAAGTACCTTTCTTAAGTTGTTGACTTATCCGGGCATCGTTCACAAGGGTGATTTTTTTTTCCTTAGAAGGGAAAGAAATATTTCCCTGGTTCAAATCTGACTGGTTAGATCAGAGAAACAGATTAAGGAAAAAAAAAATTTAAAAAATTGTAGGTTT